AACTCTCCCACACAAGTTCATTAGGAAGAAAGAGTCGGTAGGGTTTGAGCCGAGAAGCATTGTAGGAAGACATCTGAAAAAGAAAGACAAAGTTTAGATTAGATAAGAGTCCTTAATATAACACCCAAATGAAATATTAAGGCTCACACCCAACACAATATTTTACAATTTGGAAGGAGGATGCCGTAATCCATTTGCAAAATATTTGAAGGTAGGTAAATGACGATTTATCAATTTCCACCATGAAAAACGAAATTGATTATTAAGTTTTAATTGGATTAAAATTCCTGGGATTCCTTTGAGATTCACTGAACTTTTCAATGGCATGTTTAAATCTCGATTATGCCCTTCAAGTTTGTGACTGGGATGCCGAGGATCACAAATAAGGTGTGAATAACCATGAAAATGTACTTGGTACTCTTAATGTCATATATCACCTAATCAATGTGCCGGTTAACCACACACGCTCCATTGATCTATGATAAACATCAACTCACCCTTTGCCACCCTTACTAGTCCATGTTAGTGTGTCAGTTAACCACACACGCTCTACTAACGACTTGGCAAGGTGCAAAGTGCAATTTCATGGATTAGCATCAAATTCACATTTTTCCTAAAGTAACTAAGATTGGGAATTTAATAAAAGTTTAGTTACTTTATATTTATCATTATACTTTTAACGAGAATTAATGTCGTATCCTACCCGTTCGGCTAACGATCCTCCACCAATCAAGGAAGCGGTGGGTGAGAGTGGACACCCATTAAACTGTCATTTTATAGGCAGTAACCTTATACCCCCCTTATAGACCGACTTCGTGAATGAGGCCTATTAACGGTAAGACTGACTTGTCTTATACATATATATATATAATTATTAAACTTTTAATATTATAATAGTATAAGGGTTGAATTTTAAACTTTTAAAATTCTAAGGTTTGGAATTAAACTGTTCATAAGTGTGACTTTACAAATCCAAAACTTGAGGGCAAGTTTTGAAATTCTTCAAAACTTTTCATTTCCATAACTTATGAGTTTAATGACTTTTAAAGGAAAAACTTTTCATTTTCCATAACTTGAGGACAAGTTATGGAATTCATTTAAAGGCATTTAGATCAAACATTTTAATTAACAAAATAATCAAGTAATCAATCTATGATCTAGTTAAACTCATAAGTGAAGATGATTCATATCAACAATTGCAAGAAATTAGTCTAATAATATAAACTAATACAAATCTTGAAATTGTGACAATTATCTTTTTTATTGGATGAGCATGATCATTACCATATCAAGAAAACAAATTATATGCTTTAAAAAAACAGTTTGTGGTAATGATCCTAATCCAATTCTGGCCAAAAACTCGAAATTGTGCACCCAGACCCAACAACTTGGCGAGTAAATGAACTAGACTCGTCTAGTCAGCTAGTGGACTCGGCGAGTTCATCAAAATCAGAAACCAGAAAATCAATTTTTTCAACTTTGAAAAGCAATAAGCATCAAGTATAACAGAAAACAATCCTAGTCTCTGATACCACTGATGGGTTTTGAGCACTCTAACGACCTTATGGTGCACATGCAACCCTAGATGCTTTGGATCTATGTTTTCTCTAATTATACATGCAATTTGATTTTCCAAAGCATTCATCCTAACTAGCATACATTTGAACAAAATTACTAGTTAGATAATTTACCTCTTAATAGGACTTGTAGTTCTTGGCCTTCAAAAGCTTTAGCACCTCAAGTGTGATGCCTCTAATGTGTCACAAACACCAAGTGCAAAAGGAGGCTTGAGAGAATAAGTTGCTTAGCTCAAAATCAATATCAAACTCCAAGAATGATAGGTGTAGCCGATTTTGGCTCTAGGGGTGTCTATTTATAGTGTGGCAAGTGCTAGGGTTACATCCATGCAAACCCTAATGCACCATGACTCTTCATCTTACTTAGGCTCCATGGGTTAACCTCCATGGACTATCCATGTTGGTTTAGCCCATCCAAGTAACCATGAATCATTGACCCACATTATAAGAATCATTGATTTACCAAATCAGTCCCCGTATATTTAATTAGTCTCTTTTGATCACTAAATTAATTCCAAATTAATTATTGATCAATAATAATTAAATGATATGATTTCATATTAATATATTATACTTATAATATATTAACAAATCATAAATAACCTTATTCTCAAAAGTCCATCCTATCAAATTGCATTGGTGAAGGCAACCCAAAAAGACCATGCTACTCTCGGGTCAAGTACATACCAATTATAGTTATGAGCTTAGACACCTAATCCAACACTAACATGCCAAAGGGACTCAAATTTATCATTTCTAACCTCTGGAGTTGCTCAAACTCACAAAAGAGGATCCTTGGACCAACAATGAACTCATTAACAAACCCTAACTCAAACTAGCAAAAGGATTAGCAAGGTATAAACTTTTTACCTCCAAAAGCTTCTCAAGGTGATGTAGATGCAGGATCTAGAAGCTCAACCACGTCCAAGGCTTGCACCACAAGCTCTTCTTCTTGAAAACACATCAAAAATGGCTCCTTTTTGTTACTTCAAGCTCAAAATCACCTCTAATGGCAACTTAGGGTTTTTAGGGACGTTTAAAGGTGAGGGTCCAAAGGCCATAAATGAGTTTAAATAAGGGACAAATCTGAAGATTAGGGTTTTAGTCACAGGCGATGTACGCCCCGCGTACGAGACTCAGATGCCCGATCAAACGCGCCCATGTACGCTAAGCGTACGTGCACGTACACCCAGCGTACGGTGGGTCTCCTTGACAACTTGAATTATATCAAAGACTTAGAAATGGACATACCCGGATTCGGATGTTACAACTCTCCCCCATTTGAATTAGACTTCGTCGTCGAAGTCCTCTGATGCGAATAAATCTGGGTAGTGTTCTCCCATCTCGTTCTCTGGCTCCCAGGTCTACTCGGAACCCCTTCGGTGCTGCCATTGCACCTTTACTAAATTCACCACCTTATTACGCAGAGTTTTAGTCTTCTTATCAAGATTTGCAATGGGTTTCTCAATATAATTCAGACGCTCATCCACCTTAATGTCATCTAAGGAGACTACCACAGAAAAAAGATGTATTGTTGTAATGAAGTAGAGGTTTAAAAATATAAAGTGTTTATTTTTTGTTAAAGTGAAAATATGTAATAGAAAAAATGAAAGTAAGATGATATAACAAATAAATAAGTGAAGATATGTCGCTACTTCTTGCAGTTAGTCCTCTAAAAAGCAAGAATGAAGCTGAGTTGTGAGCTATAACTAGATGTTTATGAAGTGGTTTAACTTGGCTTAGATTTGTGACCATAGGCATATTTACAACAATTACCTCCTTTAGAAGTGTGTGTAGGCAGATGACAAGGGTTGTAGCGTGTGGAGGCAGATTATAAGGGTATTCTTTTAAGTTGTAATTTGTAGTCCATAATTTTCGTTGTTTTTATCTGTGAGCGTGTATGCCTAGGAATCTGTCCATTGCTTCTCTTCAAATTGAACCATGTATTTGTTGGATTAGTTTGTATCCCTACGAGTGCACTTTGCTTTGTTTCTTATTGTAGAGTGCACTTTGCTTTGTTTCTTATTGTATGTTATATTTGATAATACAAATCGACAATTATGTATAGTGTTTGCTCTATTAATTATTGGTTTTAGTTGATTCATTGTTGTGTATCCATAAATTTTGCACATGTATGCTCTAAACCCTCTTTATCCTAAGTTTATTGTCTATTACCTCATTTTACTTAATTGTCATTTATTTGATGGTGGCCTAATGTTTATTATGCTAGATTTTTTATAGGTCGACAAATTATTTAATGTTGGATTAGGGATGAGCATTAGAACCGCCGGAACCGGAACTGGACCGGAACCGAACCGGAACCGGAACTGGACCGGAACCGAACCGGAACCGGAATTGGTAATAGGTCCGGTTACCGGTTCTCCATTTTTATGAAAACCGGTCCCAGTTCTAAAACCCGGAACCGGTTTTGACATTTTTTTATTTTTTAAAATGCGCATAACTCGCTCATATGAAGTCAAAATTATTTGATTTTTTTTCCAACATGTAATTTGGAGTTTGTAATTCATTTTTGACGGTACAAACATATGTTTTGGTTAGATATTGAATCAGACACATGCCCCGAAAGAAAGCATATCGATGTTGCGTTTTTTTTATTTCAGCATTATTTTTTTGTTTTTTTTAATATGTCCCATTTTTTAAATGTGTATAACTCATTCATATGACGTCGGAATTACTTAATTTTTTTTCCAGCATGTAATTTGGTGTTTGTAGTTCATTTTAGACTATAAAAACACATATTTTGGTTAGATATTGAATCAGTTATAGACCCCGGAAGACAACATATCAATGCTGCGTTTTTTCTGTTTCAGCATTTTTTATTTTTTTGGAATCTGTCCCCGCTTTAAAATGCGTATAACTCACTCATATGAAGTCGGAATTACTTGATTCTTTTTTCATCATGTAATTTAGTGTTTGTAATTCAATTTAGAATGTAAAAAGTCATAATTTGATTAAATATTGAATCATTTACAAGCTCCAGAAGATAACATATAATCTATAGTATTTCAACCGGTTCTACTTTGAAAAATAACCGAAAAACTGGGACCGGAACCGGCGGTCCGGTTCCCGGTTCTTATAATATAGGAAAACCGGTCCGGTTCCAAAGCTCATCCCTATGTCGGATGTCTTAGTTGGAAATCGTTTCAGCTGTCTACAATCTATTTTTATAGGACTTGGGTTCTACTTTTATTGTTGTATGTTAAATAAAACATTTTAAAATACATAATTGAACTTTTGATCATTCAAAATAATACGACACTCGTAATTTAACTTTAAATTATTAAAGTAAGTATAATAATTTCAATACAAGAATCATAAGGAAAAAAAAACAAAAAGAGAAATCATTTAAGATTTGATTTGAATTACACAGTTGTATTTATAAATGAAACAGCCGATTATGTAATTACAGCAATATTAATCCATCAAACACCTATTTCGTTGGCACAACAAAAACACAAAATTCAGAATTTTTTCCAACTTATTTTAAATCAAGAAATCCAGAGAGAGAGAGAGAGAGAGAGAGAGAGAGTTCATCTCCACCACCCAGCGAACGATTCAACGGCATTGTTTCCCGGCGAAACAAAGGTCCTCTCATCTCTTTCAACCCCCAAACAATTCCCTCTCTTTAGGGTTTTCTGTTCCAACAAGAAAGAAAATTACTCCTTGTAGTATACAATTTTCCCCTTTTGCATTTTTTTCTTAGGGTTTGTTCTTGGTGTTTCGCTGGAAAACTTTGCAAATTGTCGTTCATTTTAAACAAAACAAGGTCGAAATTTGTCAGAAGGTAACGAAAGAAAAGGAGAAAAGGGGAATTCTTGAGTTCTTCGGTAATCAGGTCTTCTGAAGGTAGAAGAAGATCTGAAGAAATATGAGCGCATCGAGGTTCATAAAGTGCGTCACAGTCGGTGATGGCGCTGTCGGAAAGACATGTCTCTTGATTTCTTACACCAGCAACACCTTCCCTACGGTGATTATTTTCTCCCCCAATGTTTTCAAATTCTTGTTAATTTTATGGACATTCTTACTTGGTATCAATTTATTTGTTGATTGATGAATAGTGCTCTTGATTCTATTGGTTGAAAATTTGAATACACTTTTGATTGATTCCTATTTAATTGGAAAAAGAGAATCAGTATATGATGACGACATTCTTTTCGGGTATCTAATTCTAATATGGGTTTTCTTGATAAAGAGGATGAATTTTCTCTTAATAAAAATGAAAAATTTTCCTTAATTTTCTTTTCTGTTCTTGTTCTTGTTTTTTATTGGTTAAAGATTTAAATACTCTTTTGTCTTGTTCGTGTTCTTGTTCTTCGTGTCATTGCGTACAGCTGTCAAACTATTTTGCTTATTCTCTTTAACTCATTAGAACTTTCTCTTGTTTTGGGTTTTATTGTTATTGATTAAAGATTACTCCAATGCGGTTAAACATTTGTTTATAAAAATGATGAATTTTATCTTGTTCCCGATTTTAACAATCTGCATAAAGGAGAATAGCATATGATGACATTCTTTTCGTGTAACCAAATTTGTTTGAGCATTTTCTCTTGTTGTATATCAAATTTATCACATAATCATACTTTGTGATTAAAGTTAAAACCATTATTGAATGTGTGTTATTGATTTTGATTAAACAGGATTATGTTCCAACTGTATTTGATAACTTCAGTGCCAATGTGGTTGTGAATGGAAGCACAGTTAACCTAGGCTTGTGGGACACTGCTGGTAATTAACCTTTTCAGTGAACTTCACAATATATTTTTGATGGGTTAAATTCAAAAAATAGTAATTTACTTTCATTGATTCGTTTATTATTTATTACAACATTGGAACATGGGCTAACTTAATTGTGGTTTATATGGAACAGGACAGGAGGATTACAACAGATTAAGACCGTTGAGTTATCGTGGGGCCGATGTTTTCATTTTGGCATTCTCTCTCATTAGCAAAGCCAGCTATGAAAACGTCTCCAAAAAGGTGAAACATCTCTTTTTTTTTTTTTTATAGCCCCGTTTAATGATAAGGGCATTTACGTCTTTTACACAGTCCCAACTTTATGGGTGGTCCAAAAAAATCAATTTTTGTTCCATTGACATCAGTCTCAGTCCAATTTCATGTCATATCATGTCATTGACATCGGTCCTAGTCCCAGTTTAATGAGAAGGGCATTTACGTCTTTTTGTTTATATTTTCAGTGGATTCCCGAGTTGAAGCATTATGCTCCTGAAGTTCCAATTGTTCTTGTGGGGACAAAACTTGGTGAGTTATGAATGATTCTTCTTTTTTCATTTGTAATTATTTTTTTTTTGGTATTTCATGAATGATTCTTCTTTTTTCTTTTTCGGGTATCTTTATATGATTGAGAAATAATCAAATTACGTGTCAAAAATTGAATCTTTTTGGATTTTAGATCTTCGGGATGATAAGCAGTTCTTCGTGGATCATCCTAATGCAACACCCATTACTTCTGCTCAGGTGATTTAATACTCTTGATATTATTTTATTTTTTACTTTAAAAATATTTTGTGATTTAATTAATATTCTGTGTGGTTTACAGGGAGAGGAGTTGAAGGGTTCGATTGGAGCTCCTGAGTACATTGAATGTAGTTCAAAAACACAGCTGGTAGGTTTGACTTTGGTTTGATTTTTTTTTAGGGGATTTGATATTTTAAATTCTGATGATTTTTTTTTTTTTTGGCAGAATGTGAAGCAAGTTTTTGATGCTGCCATTAAAGTCGTTCTGGCGCCTCCAAAGGCAAAGAAGAAGAAAGGAAAAGGTCAAAAGGCGTGTTCCATATTGTGATGAAGAAGACAGAAAACTAGTTGACCATGGCTTGTTCTTGGATTTCATTTTCATATATGTTTGTTGATTTGTATTTTGATTCTATAAGCTCTCAAAAGTCAAAAGATCTTAATGTAGTAGTAATCATGTAGTTTGCTATCAAAAGCTCTATTTTTCTTGTTGTTTACTTCAGATTCATGCTAATTTTCGGGTATGGGTTTTTGGTTAAATATGATAAAAGTATATATATATATGATATGATGAAAGTTTAAAGTATATTTCTATTATGTATGATAAAGAATCCGTAAAGTATCATGTTGTATGCATTTGATTTAACCTTTAAGATTATTTAGTGACAAAAAGATAACTCTAGTTGTATAACACATGATTTGCTACAATATAGCATCTCTTTTTTTTCCCACAAATAACCGCTAATTATGAACCATTGCGAAGTTTTATTATTTGCTGAGAACTTTTCTTTTGTATGTCCCCGACCAAAAAAATTAAAAAAACTAAAAGAAAATTGTATACCACGGAAAGTTTCTTTCTATACTGCGAAATAGATCTGTAAAATTATTGAAATTATTGCATAAATCACTTTTTTATCACAGAAATTTTTTCAAGTTTTTTTTGTTGGGGTGATATTTAGAAACCATTTGCAGTAAAAAATTTGAAATGTTTGGTTGAGAGACATTTTTCAGAAAAAATGTATATAAATAACAAAGTCTAAAAAATGTAACAAACAGATTTGTCTTTTTTTCTCTTATTTAATGGAAATGTAACTTCTAAGATTTATATTATTTAGTTGTGAATGAAATTTACAGTATAGTGTCTTTTAGATCTAAAAATGAGAACCCAACAACATTTTTTCTCGATGATTTTTTTTTTTTTTTCGCAAAATGAAGAAGCACCAAACATGTGCATTGAATTTGTCTATGTCTAGAAGTTTTGCTGATAAAAAAACCAAAAAAAGAAAGCTTCTTTTTTTGAACTGGCATTTATAAATGACATGTTTAGTTGAAAATGAATTTTTTAATACATGCCAAATAGTAAACTCAATAAGTGTACTTGTGATAAGATTTATCAAATAACGTGTTTTGCATAAACATTATTTTTAAAGATTTTTGATGTTTTAGTCATTCTATTTGAGCATATAAAATTCTGTTTTGCATTAAAATGAACATCATCACACATACTTTTTTTTTCAAATCAAGTCTCAGCAATCAAATTGTTAAAATCAGAAGGACCAATATATGGATTCAATTAATGTATAAAAGTGATAAGCAGTGAAATGCATTTAATGCTAGTGATGTAGCTCCAATCACAAACAAGACCATGCCCACATCAATGAAGTGTTCAAGTGTTCTTGTGAGACATACAAGCTCCCCCATCATTTTCTTTCTGATTCATCCCATTAATGAACTACACTTTCATGTAAGAATTTATTGTCCTTCACTTTTCACATTAAAAAGCTACACAAACTATTTGTTTTTGAATGTGTTATATCACATTCTAAAATATGTGTCTTTTGCACAAACAAAATATCAGAACTCCCTCTCTAACCTTTTTGAATAGAACCAAAAACTTCAATTTTTGTTCCACTAACCCAATGCACGTCAAACACAGTACAAACAACAACATATTATATCATGTCCCAAAAAGGGCCTTAAGACTACAAAAAGATTGTGGAAAGTTATAGAAAACACTCAAACTACAAAAAGACAACATCTTGAAATGGATTTGAGCATAGAATACAAAGTATCTCAAGAACACAAACACAAAAACTCTATAGTATTATAGAAATATTATCCAAAAAGAGTAACAAACCAACATCCTAAAAGCAAATTGTCCTCACAATATGTACAAAACATAAAACCAAACACATTATTTCATATTATCAACCATAGTATTCTACCACTCACCCAAATCTTAAGGTCATCATCAAGCCGATGACAACCCCAATAGACTTTCAAAATTTCACCATCTTATCCTACCTACCTACTAGTGGCAAGAACCTAAGAACACATCAAAGACTCAAAGTTCTTTTTTTTTGGTGGGGGGGGGGGGGGGGGGGTATACTGTACATAAAAGAAGGCCACAAATGAAGAAGACTCACTAACGAAGCTTATTCTGAGCGACAGCCTGGCAAAGCTCAAGCTCTTCATCATAGAACAATACCCGATTTGAAGCAAATGATTTGCAGATTGGTTTTGGTAAAAGAGATGGAACAATGTACCTAGGAGGAGGAAATGCTGATTCTTGAAACAGAACTGCTGCAATTTGGCGCATTTCAGTTAGTTTCAGGCGGGATGGAGGGCGGGGTCCATGCCTAGGTGCTTTTGGGGTGTTGGGTAGTGTCAAAACTTTGCCTTTTCCATCTCCCTTGCTGTAATAGATTCAAAATCAAATCATGATTCTAACTTTCAAGAAAAGGAGAGAAAAAGAAAAGGTAATCATTCATCAAGATAATAACCTCACAAAAGGCCAATGTTCAGTAGGTAATGGTGTTGATGTGCACAACATTTCTTGTCTAGATCTATCTGGTGTTGTGTAGTTGAAATGGAATTGTCGAGCTATAACAACCTGTGAAATGAATAGATAATCATTTCCCAGTTTTCCAGTTAAACTATTGGTTTGATGAGTAAATGGAAAGGAGAAACTTATGAAGAAACTCACAGCCTTTCTGACTCTTTCAGAGACATGGAAAACAGCTCTTAGTTGATCATGGTGCAAGTGGCAGAGTATTTTGACCTTCAATCATAGACAATAATGAATAAGAATATAAGATAGAAACAAAATTATAGAAACAATCTAAGTAGATATGAAAATGTTGTTACCAGCAATTCCATTGGGAGAGATTCGAGTCTGGAGTCATAATCTGATACATTTCCTTCAGGGCGTGGAGTTTTGGGTGTTCTTTGTAAATTATTCTCTTTGAGCAAATCAACTGGTCCAGCCACATTATATCTGAACTTTTCAGGGGATAAAATTATAGGGGTATCATTTGCATGTTTACTCTGAAAAAGAGGAACTCTATGAGTCTTCTCTTCATCCATAACATCAACACTGTTCTTTGAAATATCTGTAGATGACTTTGATGCTGAGGCCTTGCTATTACGGAGCTGAGCAAGAGCACCTGGCTTCAAGTACTTGTTAGAACCATGATTACGCCTCTTCTGCTTTGATGTCTTTGACATTTTCTCTTTAGGGGACACTTTACCCATTCAGTTTCTTCTTTTCAGATGTCAACCGTATGATTCTAATCCTTCCAGAGGGACCAAAAGCCAGAATTTATGTTTCCGCCTATTGCTGCTCAGATCCAAACTAACTTCACAACCAAAGGCAACCACCAATGTACCTAAAACAGTATAATCACATCTCAAATCTGTTAAAACTCTGAACTTTAAAACTAAACAATCCGTGTAAAATATGAATAGCGAAATCAACACCAGATTGCGAGAAAATCAGATACAGACATCTGTTTATAAAACTGAAGAATAACGACTGAAAACAGACAGGCAACAACAACTTCGTGCAAGTTCAGATCAATCAAAGGAAAGTACTTGGTCCAAGTTTATGGACAGCAGTCCGATTGCACAAGCTGAACAACTGTCGTATACGAAGACAAAACCGAACTGCAGCCTGCTGTCTATAAACACGAAGGTACTTTTTCTCTTAATATTCAAGTAACAATTACCATCAGAAGTCGCCATTGGCTATCATCCTCTCGCTCGGTTACTGAATTCACCTGTATCCATAACCAACAACCATAAACCCCTAAAATCAGAAGCACAACATGCACAAATTTGAGATGATGATAATCACATCAAACAAACATCGTAAAACTGGTAAAAGGAATCACGAACGAAACTTCATAAACGGATAAAACAACTAAAAGTCGATACGAACTAAAACACAAAATTGAACCAATCAATCCATCCCGAAATGACGAATTAATCGAAAATCACGCGCCAACGAAAGCAAACAAACAGATTCGACCAGAGATTAGAGAGGGAGCAAACGAACCTGTAGAGAGAGAAAGTAGAGAGAGGATGAAGAAATTGGGGGAAGTGAAAGTTGCTAGGGTTTTAAATCCGCAATTTGAATTAATTCTGAATGCCCGCCAAATTATATTCTTTAATTGAGGAAATACAATTAAAAATGAAAAACCGTAGATCTTTATGCAGACGTGGCAAGATTCGATTGGATGAATGTGGAGACGTGTACGTGAGTTATGGGGAATCCAAAGTCTTTATCCTGTCCCACTAGGCCTACCTTACGACCGTAAATCGCGGCATATTTCAAAATATTATATTCATAAATCATAATCATATTTAATTCAATGTTAATATTAATACAATAATACCTAATACTCAAAGAGGAAAAGAAAATACTTATAAGAGCCAGTTACATAAATGGTCCTTTACCTTTCTCGAAATTCGTATTTCTAGTCCATATTTTTTTTTTCACAATGAAGTTTCATCATGGTTGGAAGTCCACTAATTTCTCGGGAAGAAGGTGTATCAATGCAACCGTAAACTATTTTGATGTCATAGACTTCGATAATTTTTCATTCTATGACCCCATCTACTATCATTTCTTGGTTCTCGTTAGTGATGTGGATTTTGTGCTTTTAGCCCTAGGTAATGATGAAGATGTGGAACTTCTTAATCTTTTGGTTCTCGGTGATTATCTTTCTTTTGGGTATGTAGTTTATATGATAATGTAGGGTTGTCTTTTTGTTAATATATTTACTAATTGTAGTGGTTATATACCATCTTGTTCTTGTACATGTATTAACAATTGATGTGTTGATGTTTTGGTTTGTGTATGTATTCATGTTTTGGGTTATGTATGTATTATCAATCTCCAATTTCCAATGATATTTTAACAAAGTTGAGCACATTCGAATAGTATCCAATGTGAGCACACTCAAATTGTTATCGCGTTACCAATTGGTTTGGTTTGTATGTAATTTGCCAATTCCACTTTCATATTCATAGCCATATAATATACACATAAAGACAAATTGATATTTGTGGATAACACCACATTCTTAAGGCAACTACTTATCTTTTACAATAAACCCTTTAGCCAATTCTAACTTCCAACCTTCACCATATACAAACATTTTTTTATAAAAGATAAAAATATATTCATAAAGTCACAATGCTAGTTTCAGAAAATATAAATACATGACGTTGAGATTGCTAATTCTATGTTTATATGCAAGCATGCATTGGGATATCGCATTCAACATTAAAAATGGTTCATCCACTCAATAACCTTACATTATGATATCATTTTGACTAAAACTTAACTAGTATGTTTAATATTTCCCTAATTAACCCTTCCTCGTATAATTTACGACATTCAAGTCCATTCGGTCAAGAATCGAATATTAACTTTCATAAGTTGACAACTTGGATTCTTCTAACATAATATTTTTTATTGTGACTCTATTAAACTTCTAATTGATTTATAGCATTATATTTATCAATATTATTTATTTATATTTAAATTAACTGTTTTATTTTGATTTAAATTTATTTATTTAATAAAATTACTAAAAAAATAAATAAATAAATAACTTATATACTCATTTTGAGAATGTTACATCAGTGTGATTCCAAAGAAAGTTAACATTAATTTGGATCAACTTCCAACTAAAGACAATTATTTGGCTAGAGGTATTGGTCTTCCTTCTTTTCTTTATTTTATTTGTAATAACCAATAGAAAAAAGTATATCATATTTTCTTTGGATTGTGAAGTGTCACCTATTACGGATAAGATAAGTAGATGATGTGATTGTCCTATCTTCGATGCATTCGGTTCGTGATTTGGATGGGTTGATAGACTCTTTAGCGATGTCTGCGTCAAGGAAGTTGGAGTTTGACGCCATGGTTTCAACTAGGGGTGTGCAAAAAACAGTATAAACCGCACAAACCGCTCACACCGCACCAAACCGCACCGCATAATGCGGTTTAGAATTTCGCGGTGCGGTTTGCGGTTCGTAATTTTGTCAAACCGCACTACGCGGCGCGGTTTGCGGTTTATAGTTACCAAACCGCGGTTCAAACCGCACCGCATCGTATTAATAAAAATTATATATATCAAAGTTTTCAATCACCAAATACTTCATACTGTCGAATAACTTTTTTCTATATCATGATGGTAAAAATTGATAATTAAAGACTTAAAAGACTATGATATCAATTTCATAAGTCACAACAAGTTAGAAAAAGATTTTGCGGTTTTTTTGTTTGCAATATCTATGCATTTTAAAGGGTATGCAATATAATTAATAAATTTTGAAAGTGTTTAAATGGAATGATTAACAACAAAAGTTATAAATTGGAACAATTTATCAAACCGCACAAACCGTCCGCATGACACCGCACCGCATAATGCGGTTTAGAGCTTTCGCGGTGCGGTTTGCGGTTTCCAAAAAACTCAAACCGCATGTGTGGTGCGGTTTGCGGTTTCAACTCTAAACCGCACCGCGAACACCCCTAGTTTCAACTACTCGGTGGATTATTTGGATGTTTAAAATTCAATAAATTTTGTATAGGAGAAAAAAAAATGAAAAATATATTATTTATGATAGTAGTGTTGAGTGTTTTTATAATTGGATTGTGCATAAAAAGCACAAAATTGACATCGGATGGGATTTGTGGCTCCGAAATCTGATCTGAGATTCTCATGTAATTGTTGCTTTCACTAGCTCATTGCTATTGTTTTTTTAATGAAAATTATTAGCCGTTAAAAAAATCCAGTTTGAAATAAGATAATAAAAGAAGTTACAATTTAAAACAAAAACAAAAGATAATAACAACGCAATAAAGTAATACATAAATATGGATAGTTAAAGATTGTCGATACAAAAGTTGATAATTCATCACGAAATGTAAGTTGTTGGTTAGAATCCAAGAATATATAGCCTCCAAATATCTTGTCATGATTGGCCAACTAAGAATATTACTTCATGTTATCGTTTATTGTAATGAAATCATCAACGATTGTTGATATATGAAAATTGAATTTACTTCAATTAGGTAAATTGTTTTCATTTCAGTACATTGTTGTCATTTTGAAATGGGACATCCTAATCTTATAATGTAAGGTGGTAAGGGTATCCACAATGGGAGTGCAATAAGAATTCAATGGATTATATTTCAATATAATATGGAAGAGAGAGAGTATAGGATGCAATGTTCATTGAACTGTTGAATGGATTTTTAATGTAAATTTATTGACTTTTTAAGAATTGACTTGAAAATATACATTATCTCTCCTACTTGGCATCCTGTTCAACTCTTCTTGAGTTGAATGGAGTGTTGATGCTCTAAATAGTAAGCATGGGGTAGAGAAGGTCTTTAATATGGGCATGTGCATAGGACCCATTTTTTCAAGGGGCCTAACTTTTTGTTTATTTATTATTATTTTTTTAGTATTAGCCCAAATATAAGTTCAAAGATAGTACACATCAATTGACGTAGTCCAAACGCTAGAACGAGAACAAAAGCATTAGAACAACAATTGGCAAATCGTGAAATCGCAGCATAATAGAAGCAGCAATTTAGCGATCATTCATGTCTCACGCTTCATCTTACAGCGGTGAGGGTGAAGGGTTTAGGGTCTCATTCAGTCATTTAAATCACGGAATCAATCATTATCAGCTAATGGATTATCATCATTCATCAGTTCATCACTAGTCATGCTCTACATTATCTATTCGATTCTAAACTTGTCTTTTCAACATAAGATCAATGATGCAAAATCAAAATTCATACACAACTTGAAATAACTTGTGGGCAAAGTCACGACCAAGAAAAAAAAGTAATACATGTATTGGGCAGGATAAAATCTTGAAGAAGACGCATTAACGGTGAAACAAAGAATATACATATGAACATATCGTATTTATAAAAGGCAAAGGGCAATTGGGATTTTTTTCAATAGAAACATCTTTTAGGTTATTGAAAATCATCTTTCCTATTGAAAATTGAAAAATACTTATAAAAATAAGTATTTATTAGATAAATTACTTCCTTCATATCAAATACTAAACTGTAACATTTTTTATGTGGGTCTACAATCTAGACATCTAGTCCTTTTAAGGAACTTTTGATCAGGATGGACTCAACCAGTTTGGGGCTCTAAGCGAACCAAAAAATTGGGGCCCTTTGACAATTACTATATTTAATGTTATAAACCCTCCTCTTTTATCCGAGCTTGGGGCCGACAATAAAAAACTAAAAAGTTTACAAATGGCGGAGTTAAAAACATATGTATATGTTTTTTGTGAATATATTTTAAGAAATAAAGTTAATTTTTCTAGCCTTTTATGCAAATTCTTTAATGAAATTTTCATAATCAATTTTTTTTTTACTAAATGTTTGTCAATTGACAAAATAGCTAATTCATTTAATATTTCTTGTGACATTGTAGATGTTAAATAATTTTTTAACAATTTTAATTTATAAAAACTTCTTTCTGTAGAGGCAACGGTTACAAGAATAATTAACATAATCCTATATGCAACATATGCATTTGGAAAAGAACAAAACTTTTTAATGTAATTAAATATATTAATAATTGTATCACGTTCTAAATGTATAATATGTCTTAAAAGTTGTAGTTCATGAAATAAATCTAAACCATCAATATTTAAGCTATCGTCCTGCTTTAAAGATTTTTCAAGATTTAAACAATGTTCTTTTAAAGTATTTTTATCAAATGATTTTAATTTTTCTATATTAAATAGAAAACCAAAAATATTTTTGAACTCGTTAAATTGCTCAAATTTACTTTTAACTAAAAGTAATGGTTTTATCTTACTATATATAAAAAATAATCAATTTTAAATAACTGAAAAAGAGTTTTAATAGTTTCATTAGCAACATTTTCATTATATCGTCTATTTCTTTGAATGACACGTTTTTCACGAAATTCAGGTTTTACGTTCATTTCTAAAGCAAATTCTTTTCCATAATCTAAATCCTTTTCAAATCCGTTTTCTCTATATTCTTCAAAGAAACACAAAAATCCATTTAGTTGATCTATAGCATCATCGATACACATATCATTTGATTGCAAGCGTTTACTAACAATGTTAATAGAAAAAAAAAACATCAAACCAAGTAATCATTCCTAATAAAAATTCATAGTTTTCAAGTTCATATGTAGCTAAACATTTAGCCTCACTTTTAATTTTTGGATCTCCACAATTTTTTGATAATTGTAAAAGTGTATTTCTTAATTGTGGTGCTTGAAATGTAATTGTTTTCACACTTTCTACCCTACTTTCCCAACGAGTTTGCGATAATGA